CCAGCCCTCCCGCGCGGCAATTCCTACCCCTCCGAACTCCTCACCAGCCTCCTGCCATGCCCGCTTCCTTCCTGGCCTCCATGGTGGAAATGGCCGGCTTCCTGCCGTGGCATCGGTGCCCTTTCTCCTCCCTGACCTGGAGCTCCCTAGGGCTGGCCAGGCGCCCGGCTTACCGCCTCTCCCAGCTGCTCCGGTCGGCAGTTCTGGCCGACGAATTGTATGCAGAATTCACTGGACGGGAGTTCCAGGAAAGCTCCTTGAAGGGGGCTGACTCAGCTAGAAATGGTGTGTTTGCCCTCGATCCTCCCTCCCGTGGCTTCCTAGAATCTGATGGCTGGAGCTCTGGCAGTCATCCTTCGAACATGAAGACCAGGGCCTCGGTCTCAGAACCATCAAGAGTCTGGGACCCAATAACACAGCAAAGACTTTGCACCAGACTTGTTCACAAACCCTTCACCTCTCTAGATGACTTGTTTTCAGACTTCTGTCACCAACAGGCACAATTCCAGATGGATACACCCTCCCTGAAACTCACTCACCACCCAGGAGCTGTGGCCAGAGAAAGGTTCCTTCTGCCAGTCAGTCCCATCCTGCCCCACACGGACATTTCAACCCCCACCCTACTCCTTCCCATCCAGCCTCCCCTCACACATGCCCTCCCGTGCCGTCCTGGCCATGCTGGAACACCCAGAGCAGAATTCTGCCTGTCAACGCCACTCAGGACATTCCAGATGCATCTACCCCGGAAGTCGCCCGTCAGATCCCACCGCGAGCCTCGCGGGTCTGTCTGGGGCCTCTCCCCTGCAGGCTGACTGATCGGCAGGGCCTCTCTCCTGTAGGCTGACCACTGCTTGGCCAGGTTCCCACAGCCACCCCACTCTGAGGTATGGTTTCCACACCGGCGCCCGGTGAAGGAATCTCACCAGGACACAGACTCAAATCCAAGCACCAGGAACACATGCAGCAACCAGCCACGATGGTGGCCCTTATCGCTTGTAACAAAGGAGTCCTGCCTGGCCACAAAGCCATTCCAAGACACGTATGACCCAGCACTACTGATCGGAGAACGACGCGTGACAGATCGATGCCCATCCGTGACACGGGTGCTCGCTGCGCCACAGGCGTGAGTGGCTCTGCTGAATCTGAACAGACCCAGCCCCATGGGAGCCGCCTGGGGTCTGCAAGGAGCGACCGGCCTGGCCTGTGCCGGAAACGCCCACGTGTGGTCCTGTCCCCGTTGCTCTCGGCTCTCGTGTGTGGGGACACACGGGGGAAGGGCGATGATGGTGAGCTGTCCACAGAGGCCCTTAGAAACGCTCCTGTTAAAAGCTGTCCCCTGGTCGTTCAGGGGTGCGTCCGCGTGACAGACATCACACCACCCGTGAGACCAGAAGCAGGACGGGGGCGGCGCTGTCTCACCTCTCAGCAGCAGTGGCTGCACATTCACAGCGAGGGCTCACGCCGGCTCTGGCGCCGGGGAGGACGAGGAGGCTGACCCACACAGGTGGCAGGTCCATGGAGAAGGCTCTGGTCCTACACGTGCAATAAACAGGACAGCAGCCCAAGGGTCGCAGCCCCGGCCCCACGACACTAGCACGCTGAGGCTGGCTCCCCGTGACCCCAGCCCGCGCCAGGTGCACACGGCAGGGACAGGGCAGGAGCGTCCCTCGAGGCATGCCCCCAGCCCCACCAAGGTCCCCACACAAAAGAAACACCCGCAAGCTGTCATGGCGGGAGGAAGAACAGGAAAATGCATGCACAGACACGGGAGGCTTCTCGGGGGCGCACGCGAGGCCCACACTGGCAGGACACGCCGGCCGCACAGGAGGCGGCAGGGACAGTCCCGGGCAGGTGAGTGGACACACACGCGAGACGTCCAGACACGGAATGTCATCAGTGCAGAGAAGAATGGGCTATTGAGCCACGAAGACGCGAGGAGCCTTTAACACGTCACCACATGGGAGACGCTGGTCTGAAGTCCACGCGCCACAGCTTCCAACCACAGAGACGCTGAAAGAGGCAAAACTGTGGCGACGGGAAGATACGTGGCTCCCAGGGACTGGCGGAGGGAGGAGAGGCCCAGGGGACCTCGAGGGCAGAGAAACCGCTGAGAGCGATTCTGGAACGGGGGCCACACGCCCTTCACCGTTGGTCCAAACTTAGAGAATACAGAACACCAGCAGCTAGCCAGAAGCCCGCTGTGGCCTCCAGGTGGTGACAACTGTGGAGGGAGGAGACGGCTTTGGAAACTGGAAGAGGACAGGCGCCCTGGCCAGGGGCGTGCTGGCAAGCATGACAACCGGCTCTCCATCGCAAGACGGCCGCTGAGAGATGGGAACGTCGGGACGTGCAGGTGTGACCGCCGTGAAGGAAGACAGCGCAGCAGCTACAATCGCTGAAACCGACTCAGGGCAGCAGGGACAGGCCCGGCAGGCACTGCTTTCTCGCCCAGACAGCGTAAGAACTGCCGTACTGTAAAAAGCTGTGGCCGGACTCGGTGGCTCAGCCTGTAATCCCAGCTCTTTGGGAGGCTGAGGCCTATACTGTCTGAGTCTGCAGGTTCGAGACCCGCTGGGCAACTTGGTGAGCCCTCATCTCTACAATAAGTCAAAAAAATTAGCCGGGTGTGGTAGTGCACACCTGTAGTTCCGGCTACTTGAAGGCTGAGGCAGACGGATCGCCAGAGCCCAGCTGGTTGACGCTGGGTGGCCGTGAGCGAGCCACTGCACTCCAGCCTGGGTGACGGAGTGTGACTCCAACTCAAAAAAAATGCTGTGTGCACGAGTCACTTTGACATAGCGCATGGACCGAGCCAGGCATGGCGGCTCAGGCCTGTCCTCCCAGCTCTTCAGGAACCAAAGCAGGAAGACGGCTTGAGCGCAGGGGTTCAAGGCCCACCTGGACAACACAGCAAGACCTCATCTCGACAAAAATCAAAAAATTAGCCGGGCATGGTGGCGTGCGCCTGTCATGCCTGCTACTCGGGAGGCTGAGGCAGAAGGATCACCTGAGCCCAGGAGGTGGAGGCTGCCAGAGGAGAGTCACGATTGTGCCACCGCACTCGACAGGGTGAGACTCTGACTCAAAAAAAAAAGGATTAACCCCAGAAGACATCAGCGCTCTGGTTCCTCACAGCTTGGGGATGAGCAGCTGAATGGGTCCAGAGCAGTGAGTCGACACCTGCGGGGCCCCAAGGATGGGAAGAGCGGCGTCTATGCGGGCCTGGGTCCCCAGGGCAGCGCCAGTGGGCATCCACACTTGGTGGAGACAAGCCCATCCCCCGTGCAGAAGCAGCAGCAAAATGCCGGCTCCGCGGGGCCAGTCCCCCCCACTCCTCTCTGCTCAGCAGCCTTTGTTTACGCCACTCCCTCTTCCAGAAAGCTCTTTCCCCGGAGCTGCTGGTGGCTGGTTCATCCCACAGCCGGCCACTCCTGGGCCGCGCCTCCCAACTCCCATGCCCGCCTGCTCTGCTCTCTTATTCCTGGTGCTCAGCACAAGGCCCCTCTGAGTCGGGCAGAGCAGGGAACAGACGCTCCCGTGAGACGTAGCACCGGGCCTGAGAGGGGGGCGGAGGGATGCGACAGGGTCTGCAGGCT